GATGATGAACTCCTTGAATTTGATCTTATCTGAGAAGCACTTTATCTGTCCTTCCATTCTAAATGAAAACTTTGCTGGGTAGAGCAATCTTGGTTGTAGATCTTTGGTTTTCATGACTTGGAATACCTCTTTCCAGCCCCTTCTTGCCTGTAAGGTCTCTTTTGAGAAATCAGCTGACAGTCTGATGGGAACTCCTTTGTAGGTGACTGTCCCCTTAGCTCTTGCTGCTTCTAGGATTCTCTCCTTCATTTTAATCTTGGCTAATGTAATGATGATGTGCCTTGGTATGTTCCTTCTTGGGTCCAACTTCTTTGGGACTCTCTGAGCTTCCTGGATTTCTTGGAAGTCTATTTCCTTTGCCAGATTGGGGAAATTCTCCTTTATTATTTGTTCAAATAATTTTTCCACTGGTGGCTGTGCCTTTCCCCCTTCTGGTACCCCTATAATTTGGATGTTGGAACATTTAAAGATGTCCTGGAGGTTCCTAAGACTCTCCTCATTTTTCTGAATTCTTATTTCTTCATTCTTTTCTGTTTGATCATTTTTTTCTTCCTTGTAGTCCACTCCCTTGATTTGAGTCCCAATTTTCTTTCCATTACTATTGGTTTCCTTTGTATTACCATTCATTTCAATTAGTTTAGCTTCCATATGTTTCTCTAATTTGTGACTAAAATCAACCAGTTCTGTAAGGATCCTGATAACCAGTGTTTTCAACTGTGCATCTGAAAGACCAGCTATTTCTTCATTGCTTAGATCTATTGGTTCTGGGGCTCTGAGTTGTCCTAGAGCCATTTTTGGTCTATTCGTGCTGTTAAGTAAGCGGAGCGAAGCCTTAGTTGTTTACCAGGACGGGGAGACCCAGGTTGCTGGTTTGTGACGCTGTGTATGGGGGCGTGGTCAGAGAGGGAGCAAAGGCGGTCCTCTCTGCTAGCCCAGCCCGTCCAGTCACACCACAGGCCTCGGGCTTGTTTATCCGATCGGAATTGTGCGAGGCTGCTGCCCCGCGCAGGCTTCCCTTCTCACTGGTTTCTCTGCACGTAAATGCGGGACCGACCTGCCGCGCCTCTTCCTTGTGCACTCCCTTTGCTAGCTCGCTCGCGATCAGCGCCTTTGGCTGCTTGCGCGGGCACCGCGCACCACCTGGGAATTTTTTCTTGCTAACCTGCTCCGCTGCTGGCTTCGCTCCTCGTACCGGTCCAGCTGAGTATCTAGTTGTCCTTTGGACTCCGTATTGTTGATTTTCCGTGTGGCTTGGTTGTGACTGCTGTTAAAAATAGTTGTTCTTAGATTTGGTTGTGCACAGAGGCAAGGTGGTTCCTCCACCTACGTCTCCATCTTGGCGGAAGTCCTCCAGAGTCGCTGGGTTATGACGCTGTATGTGGAGGTGGGGTCAGAGCGGGGAAATGGCGATGCCTTCCGCTGCCGCTTGCCACGGGACCCACTGGGTCCCGGTCCAATCGCCCACTCCCTCGCTTGTCTATCTGCGCACAAATGCGCAACGACAGTCAACCTGCAGCCCTGCTCCCTCACTGTTTCCCTGAGTTCGCTTGCTTGGTCGCTCGCTTGGTCGCTCACTAGGTCCAACCTTGCGCCTGGATTCCGCGCTGACGGAGTTTTCCTGAGCAACCCCGCTCCACCAGCTGCTGGTTTGGCCCCTTACGGGTCAGGCTGAAGAATTTGTTGTTAACAGACTTCCGAAAAGTTCAATTTTCTTTGTTCTGGCTGTGTTTTCTGTTGCTAATATTTAGTTGTCTCTAAACTTGGTTGTGTGAGAAGGCACGGCTTATCCACCTATGCCTCCATTTTGGCGGAAGTCAGAAGTTTTCTTAATGCATGCTTGTAAATTCTATTATTTTGAAATTTGATTAGGAAGTACTTCATTTTCCTTTAACCATTTCTTCTTTAAAATTATACTTGTTATTATGTCAGAATTGAAGATAATTTATCATGAGTGCTACAGAATTTGGGATATTTTAACAGGGTAAAGATGAGATCTTTTAAATTTTTTTCAAGAATTCTCAAGAGAGCCCTGATGAGTGTGGCTCAGTTAACTGGGTGCTATCTCGCAAGGTGAAGGGTCACAGGTTCGATTTCTGGTCAGGGTTCATGCCTGGGTTTCAGGTTTGGTCCCTGTTGGGGTACATGCAAGAGGCAACTATTGATCAATGTTTCTCTCACATTAAAGTTTCTCTCTCTCTTTTTATCCCTCCCTTCCACTTTCTCTAAAAATAAATAAATAAAATCTTTAAAGAAAAAAAAATTTTCAAGAGGATTCCGAAGTGGGACTTAAGAAATCTTAAACTTGCCCTGGCTGGTGTGGGTCAGTGGATTGAGCACCAGCCTATGAACCAAAGGGTCACCGGTTTGATTCCCTAGGCACATGTCTGGGTTGCAGGCTGGGTCCTCAGTTAGGGGCATGTGAGAGGCAACCACACATTGATGTTTTTCTCCCTCCCTTTCTCTAAAAATAAGTAAATAAATAAATAAAATCATTAAAAAAGAGAGAAACCTTAAACGTATGGCTTAGATATAATTTAATGACTGAAATTAAATGTAGTTATTAAAAGTTATTTTGTTTAATGTGAAGATTTTAGGCAAACCAAACACCAATATTTAAATTATGGTCGAATTTATTTATTTTTCATAAACATTTTTATTTGATTTTAATTGTTCAAGTACAGTTTTCTGCCTTTCCCTCCACCCCAACCCACCCCAAGCCCTCCCGCTTTCCTCCTGTTTCCACGCCCCCCATTTATAAACATTTTCTTTTAAAGATTTTATTTATTTTATTTTTTAGAGAGGGCAAGAGAGAGAGAAAGAGAGGGAGAGAAACATCAGTGTGTGGGTGCCTCTCTCGCACCCCTCACTGGGGACCTGGCCTGCAACCCAGGCATGTGCCCTAACTGGAAATCAAATAAGCTACCCTCTGATTCACAGGCTGGAAGTCAACCACTGAGCCACACCAGCCAGGGCCTGACAGAATTTAATTTTGACAATTTTTCCTTGTAAGTGTTTTTAGAATTATTTGTTTCTAAAAGAGATTTATTTTCTCTATAGTTATATTAATGTTTATATTTTCTGTTGTATTTCCCCATTTGTTTCGAAAGGTCTTAACTTTTTATATTTAACAGTTCATTAATGTAGCATTTTATTTTTTGAATTGTTTTTATTGTGGTAAAACATATGTAACACAGAATTTGCCATTTAGCTGTACAGTTTAGTGGTATTAATTACATTCACAGTGGTTTATAACTATCACCATTATCTACCTCCAAAGCTTTACTATCACCCCACAGAGAAAGTCTACCCCTTAAGCAGTAAGTGTCATTTTCCCCTTCTCCCTCTACCTGGTATCCTCTCTTCTGTTCTGTCTTTACCAATTTGCCTTTTCTATAAGTAGAATCATACGATATTTGCTGTTTTATAAGTGGCTTCTTTCTTTAAAAAAAATTGTTTGTTTGTTTGTTTGTTTTTAGAGAGAGGGGACCGAGTTCATAACACAGGCATGTGCCCTGAGCAGGAATCAAACTTTTGCTTTACTGTATGATGCCCAACTAACTGATCCACACCCACCAGTGAGGGCTGTAACTGGCTTCTTTCACTTAGCATAAGATTTTCAAGGTCCATCCTGTTGTAGCCTGTATCAGAACATTTTATTCTCGCAATAATAAATATACATTTACACTTCAACTGACTGGATACAGTTTCAGCAGAATAAATTTTTTTAAGATTTTATTTTTATTTATTTTTAGAGAGAGGAGAAGGGAGGGAGAGAAACATCAGTGTGTGGCCGCCTCTCACGTGCCCCCTACTGGGGACCCAGCCCTCAACCCAGGCATGTGCCCTGACTGGGAATCATACTGGCGACCCTCTGGCTCGCAGGCTGGCATTCAAGCCACTGAGCCATACCAGACAGGGCCAGAATGATTTTTTTTCTAACTGAAGTTTTATTTCTGCAATGATTGGAAACCAAATATTTTTATACTAACAATTAAATCCAAATGTCCTGTCCTTGTTCTTTATTATAGTGATAAGTTATGACCATAGACTCTTAATCTGTCACCAGAAACGGTGCTGATGTAGACCTTCTGCTGCTGTGACTCTCAAAGGCTGAGGCTTCTAGATGCTGTAGTTGAAGCCTGGCCCTGGGGGCTTCCAGGTCTGTGCAACACACATCCTGTCAGGCAGGCAACTGGTACTTCAGGGCCTGGTGGATTTAACAGGGCTCCTCCCCTGAGCTGTTCTTCCCTTGGCTTGGCTAAGAGCCCAAGAGAAAAATAGGAAAAGACATAACTGGACAGTTTTCCAAAAGAAATAAAATAACTAGTGCACACAAGGGAAAGCATTCAAATGAGTCAAGGAAATGCAAATTCAAACAAGGTGTTACCCATTCATTTTCTAAACCATCGAAGCAACAAAATATTTGAAGATTAGAATGCCCAGTGCTGGCTATAATGCAGTGAGATCAGATCACTTGTGTACCTGTGTAAATTAGGATATTCAGTCATCCATTTGAGTAGATAGTCAGGATTGTGTCAGACACTACTACAGTTGCTGAGGAAATAAATGTTCATTTTATATGCATAAAATTCTTTATTAAAGTATCATTAATAAAAATAGCAACAATTGGAAACTACCTAAATGCCCAGCAATTTGGGTTTTATAAAATACCTGATGAGTTAAGAATAAAGCAACATGGACAAAAGCAAAGAAAAAAATCTACATAGTTAATTTAGTTTAAAAATGTTTACATGAAAATTTGGCAGATACGGTTTTTGGTGGCCTATTTGTCCCTTTCCCAAATTTTCTATGGTACTGATATTTGCTAAAATAATGAAATTGTTTTTGGTGACACCTGAATGGTAGTCTGTTTACACTGCCTCTGACTCTCAGGACATGTACTAACTGTTTTGTTATTGTGAGTTTCTCAGTCATGTTTTTAATGTCCAGAGTCTGGTCTCAAATTGCCCAGGGTGATATGGTCATTCTGGGTCTTGCAGGGGCACTGAGGATATCACCTCTCCTCATGGTATCCCTCTCGACCTTCTGGACCGAGTGATGATCATCCGGACCATGTTATATACTCCGCAGGAAATGAAACAGGTGAGCCTACCCTCTCCCTTCCTCTCTCTGTTCCCTTCTTAATTGCTGCTAGTGTTCCTTGATGCCATGTAGGAACGACTGGCTCCCACCACTGTCCCATCACTATGCTGCATCCTTGTATAAGTCACAATACTCTGAGCCTCAGTCTTCCCATCTGAGGGATGGATGGGCCAATTAGATACTGCCTAAAGTGTCACAAAACCTTAGTTGCCTACATCCCTCCTGATAAACTTTAGGAAAGAGATGGTGAAAAATATTGACTTGATGACAGCCATTAGGGGGGTCACTGAAAAAGGAAGTTCTAGGAAAAGGGCATGAAATGATTTAGCAATAGCCTCTTGGTGCCTACGCCAGACCCTGTTTGAGGATTTTTTTGCTCAGTGGGCAAAGCCAGGTACTCTGTCCCAATAGAACCCACAGCAGGCTCGCTTTAGCAGGATGCAGAAGCTATAGGGGGTGAGCACTCGAGTCCTAGCAGAGCTGTATACATCATGACCAATGGGTTTCTCAGGGACTTTGGAGGCTGTGCCTGGGGCTGCTGCCTTGGTTATAGAGATGATAGTAAACAGGGTCACACATCTCAGAGAGGCACCTGGAATGGAGGTCATGAAACTAACCTTACAATGAGAGGCTTGAAGGAGATGTACATGGAAGCATCTAGCTCAATTGCTGCGTAGAGTGCATGCCAGAATTCCATGTTAGCTGAATTTAGGGTGGAGGTGACAGGGCCCTATGAGATTGGGCCCTATCCCAAGGGGTACAGCCCCAGTTCTTGCAGGAATTGCCTCTTGCTTGATCTGGAGCTGGAACACCAGTTGTGTGCTAAATAATGCCTAGGCACTGCACACTTAGAATTTCTAGTTCCCTAATTGGTACTAGGGTACTTTGGTAGTTGTTACAGTCATAATCTCTTTTCTTTTTGATGGCTGAGTTGCAGAGTGGCAAGTCCAGGATGCAAAGCCAGACAGTTCCATACAGAGCCCAGGCCATCTGCTCAGTGGTAGATTGTGCTCTAGGTTGCTGACCCATTGGAGCAGTACAGGCTGTGTTCTTTTCCCTGCTCTGTCCACCCATGCTTCAGATGATGGTCTCACTTCCAGGATGTAGGTCTTTCACTTTGAGGTCCACATATGGCCAAGGCCGGGGACGTGGAGTGGACCAGGGCTTCACTGACATCTTAATAGGCTCTGCCTGGACCCTCTCCCCTCACCAGGGCACAGGCACTGTTTGTTGGACATTGCGCTAAATTTATGGACGTGCGTAGCCAGCATGATTCCATTTGATTTCCAGTAACCACGAGACAGGGAAAACTGTTATTGTCGTGATTCTTAAAGATGAGGACACAAAGACTTAGGCTAACTAAATGTCTAAGTTCATAAAGCTGGTCAGTGGCAAGTATGTGATAGGGCTAACAGGAATCCAGGCTATCTGATCCTGAAGCCCATGTTCCTAAGTGCTATGGTACCAGCCTCCTACCTGCTAGAAATAACAAGTTCAGGTGGAGTCGCTCTGGCAATTTGTTGGCAAGGCCTTTCCTTTTGGAGCTCTGAAGGCCTCTCCTAGGATTTTCTTGGCTGTCCCCTTACTCATGTGTAGCCTATCTGCCTGGTCCTGTCAACGTTTCTTGTTGACCACTACCCAGGAGTGCTGGGGTGAGCATGGAGTTGGAGGTCTCCCTTCATAACCAGCATTGATAGAATATTGAAATAATTGTAGTTCATGGCAGCAACTGTGCATTATTAGGAGATAATGTCCATGTCTGGGGGCCTTATCACCAGCTAATGGTCTTTTGCTCTTGGATGAATGCTAGGTTGAAGTCAAAGCATTCATTGAATAGAAAGTGGAAGCAAAAGCAAAGGATAAATTGGTCCCTTTCCCATCCTTAGCTTTGAGACTAGAGCCTACTGGGAAAGGCAGCCCTACACACTCAGATCACTTCTTGTGTCTCTGTGAGCCTTCCTGATTCACTGCAAGATCTGTTCCCTTCTCTCAAGGTTGTCATGAGGACTAAGTGAGATAATGACAGTAAATGGATAGGATCAGCTGTCCCTTCCTACTGCAGTTATTACTGATATTAACAGCTTGCAGTTGTAGATATCCACTGGGATCCTCACAACAGCTTTCAATAACCAGGGTTTGCGACTTGAAAAAAACAAGGGCCCCATGGTCACAGAGAATAAGCTGCAGAGCTAGGACTGTACTCAGAGCCAGTTCACATGTTTACTCCATTTGACCCTGGACCACGTGATATGTTCTCCCCTGGAATGTTCTACAACTGTGCCTTCCAGAGCAGTGACTACCGGCCAGCTCCTGGCCTGGTTACATTTGCTTAGCCAGGCCTCCTCTTGGGTTAGCAGAGGACAGACTGCCATTATGCACACTGTTTTTTGTTCTGATGGGTTCAAGGAATAACCTCGGCATTTTTACTGGAGCCTGGCACAGGTCTTTAAAAAACAGAGTAAATGTAACATGTATTCTGCCATCAGTGCCGACACTCTCATAAACTATCCCTGCAGGTTATTAAATGATTAAAGATCTAATTTATGAACTATCCATTTCCAAACAGTCTGAAACAGGAGCTCTTGGGATTGCTCTGACTTGCTTTAGAGAGAGTGAGAGGAGTGTCCCTGACATTTCTGAAGCCCAACTTCCAATTCAGTGCAGCTCGCTAAAGATGAAATGCTCAGGGCTGAAACTTTGCCCTTAACCAGGCTCAAGGATTAAATATTTGCATCTCGTAAAGTTTCTGAACGTCCTAGGTGACATTTTTCTTGACAGGACCTGGAGGTTTCCTTTGTCCCCAGCTAGCAGTGGAGAATTCCTTTTTATATTGAGCAAAACCTGTATGGCTCTGACTGTTATGGTCGGTGGGGAGTCCTGTGGAGGGAGCTGGGAGCGGGGATCTTCCTTCCTGTTCCATTTCTGTCTTCCTCATGTCCACTAAGGACCTTCTGTGCTCAGCTGCATTTATGGTGATTTGGGACCCCAGGGAACCCCTCATGTACAAGCTAAGATACTTTGTACAGAGGTCATACCTTAGCAGCACTGGCTAAACAGATAATGTTTTATGTGGCTGGTGCAGTGTGAAATATTTCAGCAAATTGACATTTAGAAATCAGGACATTTCATACAAAATCTGAGTTCCGAGTCTTTTTGACAGAATAAAAGACTTTCTTGCTAGTATCTGGCCTTCCAGCCCTGGCCCTGATCCTGAGCCTGTCTTTCTTACTGAGGAAGACCTTTCTGATTCATAGCAGGCTGGCCCCTTATGAAAGTCACTAGACACTAAACTCCCTCACTCTACAGCTCCTGCTCTCATGGTCTCTTTCTGAGAGCTGAAAGGCCAGCTTTAAAGTGCGTATGTCCTAAAACTCTGGTCTCTCTCTTTCCCTTGTAAAGCTTTAGCTGGGGGGCTTAGTCTTTCCCACTTCCTAAGCCTCTACCTGGGTGTGTTTTTATGACTTTAATTTAAACAAGGGCTTCTTGATATGTTTATGAAGCTGCCAAAGTGAAAAATTCCTATATTATTTGAGGCTCAAAGTCTTCACGTTATCTCAGTTTCACAATACACAACATCATTATCCCAGCTGCCCCTTATCACTCAGTGCTGGCGTGCCTGCAGGATCCTGGTGCCACTTGGGTTACTGCATCCACACTGCCAGCTTGTTTTCCATCCATCTTTACTAGGATCTGCAAACTAACAAACATTGGCTTCTTCTTGATAGATTAGCTATCTTTGGGTGATGTTATGAGGGCTGGTAAATCTGTAAAAGTAACTTTTAAAAAATTTACTTAACTATTTTATTTATTAAGCAAATAAAGAATCTTTGTTCTTGTCTGAGTCTTAAAGGTGGTGGTGTCTGTACTGGAGAGGAAGGTTAGAGGCTGTGTGGGAGCCTGGGCAGATTTTGGAGGAGCTTCAGTTTTCTTGCTCTGGAAATTGAGTGGCCTGGGCTGGGAGGCAGGAGCTGAGCCATCCTGGTACACACCTCCAGGGATACCAGCTGCTTTCTAGTCAGTATGAATGGAATACTCTGGCTTTAAAGCTATTCACAGTGCAGCTGACACCCGATGGGTATGTGTGTGCAGTCCTGGGTAGGGGTCAGCTCTTTGCCTCACCAGCCCAAGATTGGGCCTCTGCTGCTGTAATGATGGGGACTAGAAACACTGAACAAGATTGTTTTTAAAGCACTTTATAAATGAGATACTTAAGATTGGTCACTGTTAATCATGGTTTTTCTCCTCCAAAAGATTATTAAAATCCGTGCCCAGACAGAGGGAATCAACATCAGTGAGGAGGCACTGAACCACCTGGGAGAGATCGGTACCAAGAGCACTTTGAGGTGAGCCAGTTGTCCCCTGGACCAGTGTCTGCCTGGTGCTGCTCCAGACCCCATGGTGCCTTCTCAGCAAAGTCTGTGGGGACGTAAAGTTCTGTTAGAACGTAAAGGCCCCCTTCTCAGGGCATAGGACTATGTCTGCTATTAGTGGTATGGGTCTTATCCAAGGACACTGATTTAGAGTGCAGAATATTTAGATTGATTGTGTTCTAAAAGTTAGATTAACAGGTTAAGTTCCCTTGTCCTGTAGTAGATGCACTCCTGTGATAGAGAGCTGGCTCTGACCCCGGGCCATTCCCCTTGGTAGAGGAAATGGACAGAACCGGAGACCAGGGTCCAGAGCAAGGAGTTCATTAGGTGGGCCCTGCCTTGCCACCTTACCCCCTCACCCATGCTGGCTCTGTTCTTCTGGTGTGTCTTAGATAGGAATGGTGGGTGTAGGTGAATGTGAGGAACTATTGCAGACATAGACTGCTTTCCTGATAATGGCTTGAAGCTGTTGCCTATTCGGGATGTCTGTCCTCAGTGTTCTGGCTTCTTGTGAAATCATTACTTCCTTGTCACTAATTCCCTCACTCCTGAAGTTGAAGCAGAATTGTAAGCTTTTTTGTTTGGGTGGAGTGGTGCTTTTAAAAACTGGATCTTCACGCCTTTGGTTGGAGCATGTGCTTTCAGGCTGTCTGTTCATTTCCCTGCCATGTTCAATGTCCTGATCTGAACCTTGGCATTGCCTGTGACAAAATTTGTAGTTCCTTTCAAGCAGCAGTGGAATTACCTCCTGTCAGAGAATTTTTAGATTGTGACAAAGATTTGGGGAGTAGGACTTGGCTATGTTCAGGACTTCTGACCTCTCCAATGAGGTCATGACTGCAACTCTCTGAGTAAGGACAATTCTCATATCTTCTCGTTTGCTGTGTCCACAACATCTAGCGCAAGCCCAGCATTGGGCTTAGCCCCAGGTGTCAGTGCTCCTGCTGGTCTGGGATGGGGCTCCTATCTGTGGCCACTGTTTCACTCCTGCCCTGGCCCCTGTTCCCTTTAGGTACTCAGTGCAACTGCTGACCCCGGCCAGCTTGCTTGCTAAGATCAACGGGAAGGACAGCATCGAGAAAGAGCATGTTGAAGAGATCAGTGAGCTCTTCTATGATGCCAAGTCATCAGCCAAAATCCTGGCTGACCATCAGGATAAGTACATGAAGTGAGTCTTTCTGCAAAGAGGGACTCCCTGGCATGTCTGGGCCTGGATACAGCCTGCAGATACAAGGTTAACTCCTGGCCTTCAGATTCTGTTCCAACTTGGGCATGGTTAGCAGCAAGTTCAGTGTGCTAAGTGTTTTAAATTATCATAATTTCTCCTGTGGTTCCTTTGAAGGAGCCCTGCCTCACCTGGCATGTTTTCTAATAAATCATTATAGGATATTTTGGTGGCATCTCTTTCTCTTTCTTCTTTTAATTAAAACAAATAAACTTTGTGTTTTAGAACAGTTTTAGATGTTGTGAAGATTGTACAGGGCATTCCCACATACCTCACACCCAGCTTCTCTGTTGTTAATATCTTATTAGTAGTATGTAGTACATTTGTCACAGTTGATGAACCAACAGTGATACATTATTATACTTCATATTTTCTGTCCCAGGTTCCTACATTACCTTTAGTTGTCATTTCTCTTTCAACTCCTTGTGGCTGTTGTTTTTGATGACCTTCAAGTTCTGAGGAACACTGGTCAGGTGTTCTGTCTAATATTCCTCAGTGGGGTATATTAGCTGTTTTTCTCATGATTAAACCAGGATCGTGGGTTATTGGGAGTAAGTCCATACAGGTAAAGTGCAATTTTTATCACATATCAACATGACTCATCACTATTAAAGTTGACCTTAATGACCTGGCTGAGGTGTTTGTCAGGTTTCTCCACTGTAAAGTTACTCTTTTCCCTCTTCTCATACTGTCCTCTTTGGAAGAAGTCACTGAGCATAGTCCACACTTAAGAGGTGGGGAGTTTTTCTCTGCCTCCTTAAGGGCTGAGCATCTACATTAATTATTTGGAATTTATCTACACAGGAGATTGTCTTTTCTTGCCATTTGTTTATTCATTTATCTCTGTATGGACTCAAGGATATTTATAATATACTTTGGGTTATAATCCAGTGACACATTATTTTGCTGCTCAAATTTGTCCAGCTTTGACCATTGAGGGTTCTTTCAGTTGGTTTCTGTGTACCTCAACATGACTCCATCACTGGTACTACATTTCTTTGTGAGTTCAATGAAGTGGGGCTTTCAGCCATTTGAGAGGAAAAAGAAATGACAGTGTCTGACAGATGCCATACTGAAACATTCTCACCTGGTAGGATGAACACCATGTTCTTTCTATCAGGCTGTCTCCTGTCTGCTAGCTCTGTGCTGCCTGAGGCAGGGCTTAGCCACAAAAGTAGTACCTTGGTACAAGCTGGTTGTTTTGGTTCTTTGCCCTCATGGGCAGGATCTCCATACTCTTTTTATTTGTGCAAAAAAAGGGACTGACCAAGACAGCCATTTTCATCCAGTAGTTGTTCTAATCCAAGTTAACCATGAGGTCCTTGGGGGGCAAGTACAACTGTTCTCTCATTAGTGATGATCATCTGAGCGTGTCCAGGAGACTGCAGGACAGGAAGGCTGAGATAATGCTGTGGGAGTCCATTCAGCCTTCTCAGAGTCCTCAGGCCCTGAGGAGGGCCCAGCTAGTCCCTGATGCCAGAATGGATATTCTTCTGGCCTGGCACCTGAAGGAAGTCTCAGCATGGGGGTGGGACACTTCCTAAAGTCAGGGCTGAGCTCTGGTTTGTCCTGGCTACTCATATCCTGTGTCTCTGGCCTCCCAACATAAGCAACATTAGAAAAACAGAATAGTGGTACCTCTGATACCAATGTAGCAAGAGCTGATTGTGGGCGAGAGCCTGTGTTAATGCTTCATATTTCCTTTCACATTAACACAGCACCCCTATGATATTGGTGCCAGTTAGGTCTCTTGTGCAGCTGGTAAGAGATGGAACCAGAAGATTTGGAATCAGAGTGGTTGGAATCTGTTTGTATAATACCTTCCTCAGGGTGCTGAGTTGTTGGGGGCCAGGGGAGAACTTCAAGATCTGACCTCCATTCCAGGCAGGTGAGGCAAGCAAGGGCAGGTATGAGGAAAGTGAGTTCGCTAAGGTGATATCCCAGAGGAGAACCAGACTCTGCTCACCTGGACCTCTTCCAGCCCCCAAACCTTTCAGAGTGTTTGAGGAGCAGTAGAGAAGCAGTGGTGATGGCAAACCTCTCAGTACAGTTTGGGACAGAGACTTTTGCAGCTGCTCAGGGACCCCTGATGTCTAGAGGAGTTCTGGTGAGGAGGGCAGTGAGTGTGGTCACAGCCCCCTGGTCTTCAGGAGTTCTGCTCCTTCGTGTTCAGGGATATGACCCACCTCATTTGTCTCACGTAAGTGAAAAAGATGGTTCTGGGAAGGTAAGGTTATTTTAATTTTCCTATTTTTTCCAGCAAGTCCTGTAATTATAACATTAATCTTCTAGATGAAGTTTTTACAACCAGTCCCCTCACTGACTATGAGAAGTTTTTCCATCCATTACCAAAAGGGAAACAGACCCTGAAGGGAGGAAAATATTTGTTACATCTTATCTAGCTGACACACAATCTACCAACAATTATAGCAGGCCCATTTTTTGTACTATTTCAGCTCTGGTGTGAAAAATTGCTATAATATGAAAGCGAGGCAGGGTGAAAGTCGGTCATGGGAAATGGCTGATATTCCAAGCTCTGGGCGCATGTTCTCCATTGCCTATCCACAAACTGATTGAATGGCCTGGAGAACAGAGTATTTGCATGTAAATCCCAGCTCCCTGTTCCTGTGCTAATGGCCTCACCATGAGAGCAGGAAGGTTTTTGAAAGACTGTCCCTGGCCCTTGCTGAGAATCCACCTTATCCTCCCTTTATTTTCTCAGCCCAAATACCTTCTCACTGCCACCCCTCCTTTGTTATACCCTCTGTATGGGTTCATAGGATATTTTGTTTTTTAGAACTAAACAGATGATGGTGTCATAACCAGAATTCTAGTGACTTCTTGATTAGTAAAACTTTCTCAACCATTTTTCTAATGAAAACAGAGCTGCACAATTGTGGAAGTCACACTCTCTGTTGGCCTCCTTGTCTCAGACCCCAGGGCCAAAAGGCTTTTTACTGCCAGGAAAGCAGATGTGCATCATCCGGCATCCCTCATTCCCTACCAGGGCCAGCCTGGAGGGACCTGAACAGTTCTTGATCTTGTGGGGGTCCTAGGCAGAAGGTACAGGTGGGAAAGGGGAGAAACCAGGTTCCAGGGACATGGCAGTTAGTGATGTGATTTTGACTGGTCCTTGGTCCTGAGCCTAGTCCCTTCTGGTCCTGAGCCTTCCTTTCCTCATCCATAAGATGAACGCAGTCATATCCCATAGATCCATGGAGGACATGGTGAGGTGACATGTGGCTGTATTGGGTACTCAAGATACTGAAATCCAATGAAGAATTCCCAATCCCTATCCCTCTGGGGAGAAGAGGTCACTATTTGTCCAACAGAAGACAGAAACTGGCTGGCTCCATCCTTCCTCATCCCAGACAGTCGGCCCTTGCAAAGGTTTAGAAAAGGCCATTAGCTGGACCATTCCCTGTTAGGCCAAGGGACAGGCAGGCTTGGGGACACACAGGCTCAGGAGCAAAGAGGAGAGAAACTTGCAAAGGCATGGGCTGGTGCTTCCTCCCAGCCAAGCTTTTGATCTTTGGAAAAGAGGGCTACTGAGAGGCAAAACTGTCCCCCTCAGGCCACCCGCTGATTATCCTTCTATTCCCCACCCTTCTCTCCTACAGTACGGAGCTACTCCCTCTTCCATTTATTCCTGGGGACAAGGGGTAGGCCTGGTCAGGGTGACTGAGCCTCTGGTGGTGAGGGGTCCAGAGAGCCTCACTGGACCCATGAGTGGGGGAGGAATGGGTCAACCACCGGTGCTGACTGTAAGCTGGCAGCTAACTGACCTTGTTGCCCCTCCCTGTCATTCGGCAGGCAAGTGCTGTAATTAATGGCCGGGCCTCTGCCTGTTCCGCCATCAGCACATGTCTAGGCAGCAATGAATGTGGCTTGTCAGGCTGGCCCAGCCCATGGTGACCCTCGGCCCATGTCCGATGCGATCAATGAGCAGCACACAGCAGGCAGCAGCTGGGCCAGCGTGATAAGGTGGGCGGATGCATGCCCGCTGATTGCCCGCTCCGTCACCTGCCATCACCGACAGTCCGCCAAGGTGCAGATCGGCGCTGTCTACTCCGCGTGATTAATGGGGTCGCAGGCAAACAGTGGGAGGGCTCAGGCACGCAGACCCCACACCGGAGGGATGGGGAGGGTCCAGCACTGTAAAGTGCGTACTGGCCTGCAGCAGATGTAAGTCTGCTAGGCACAAGGAACACAGGGTGGCCAGTGCAGGTCTGGGGCACACGCTTACAGTGCTTCTGCACGGAGCCATCGCAGTATCCAGGACTTAGGCGCAGGGGCTGGGTCATGGGATTGAACAGCATGTACAGAAGTGTCACTAAGGTGTGTCGGGCGTTAGTGCGCAGTCACCAAGAGTCTGACTTCGACTGACTGTGAACAGTCAGCCGCTAGGGTGGGGGAACAGCTAATGTGATCTCCCTACTCTGACCCCAGAAGCCCTGGCTTATGCTCGCCAGTTGCAGGCCCTCTCCCCACAGTCCCAGCCATCTTTGCAGAACCTCCATCTGACTCAGGCCCCTACCCAAATCCCTTTCCTAGGATCCTACGGCTCAGTGGACAGATAGCAAGGCTCTAAGGGGTGTGTTTCACAGTCCCAGTCACCCAGGCTCTCACACTTACATGCCTACCTGGTTCATGCCACACCAGACCAGGCACTGCGAAGAAGAGATGATGGGTGTAAAGCACACAAACGCCCACTGAAGTGACCCGCTCTCCCAGGCCTCTCCTTGGAAAAAGAGCCAGCCTCCAGCCCTACCACTGAAGACCTGCGCCAGGTGATAAAGGAGAGGCCCAAGAAAACTTGCCAGAGTAGGTTAGAGGATCCCAGAGATGGCCAGCTGTTGCAGGACCGGTTGATGGGTCACAGTGCAGATGGAGGGAGGGGTGAGGAGCAAGGCTAGGCCTAAGCAGTGGGCCATTGGTATCAAAGAAGATGCTCTGCAGGAGCCGGGCCCACTCCTGTGCCACTCCTACTGTTCCAATTGGGAGGTCTCTGGCAGCCTCTCTCTTTACTGATCCCCCGCTGCCCTCCCCCTTGTCCCTACTGCTAGCCCAGCAGCTGGGGTGATTGCGAGACCACAGCCTCCCCATGCTGAAAGAGGCGCTCAGTTGGAGCCCTACCAGGGGTCCTTGGACCCACCCAGCCACA